CGCTAATCACACGAGGTGTGGCCTGCTTTGTCTGTTTTTCCCTCGTTGTTTATACACACTCGTTAGCGTGTGTGTGTGGTTGTGTCTTTGTAGTTTGGGCTAATATGACTAGTCCCAACTGGGGATCCAGAATGTTTGGACCAATAGACAAAATCGGCCTGATCCATCACAGACGGGCCCGGTCTGTCACACCTACGCACACCCAACTTGTCCGTTGTGCTCATGTCTATCGCATGGTCACCTGTCCTGTTGGTCTCGTTGTTTCTCCATCATTCCTCCGTCCTTACACAACCCCTCCGATGAGTCAAAGGTCAACATCATCACCACCACCAACCGGTTGTGCTGGGAAAAAGTGACGCAATGCACACTGTTGTCGTGTTGTCTAGACAGAAGAGCTGAACTCGAACTCACTGCCGGACGGATTGCGTCTGTCGGAGGGGTGAGAGACAGTCGGATCTGAAAACAAACCTCTACCTTTGGGGTTTGTATCAGGCTAGTGTCTGTGGGAGAGAATAACTGGCAGAATACGACTTTTATGCAGATGAAGTCGGCTTCGAAACTAATAGTATAGCTTAAATAAGAGATCTTTTTGCTCCAGATCCCACAAGATGAATTTTCCCACAATTCGCTGATACAAACGTACTTGGCGTCTAGGATGAGCTGTATTTCAACCTCACCTAAACTGGTCTCATCCGAATTCCTAACGGGAATCGAACCTTAGCCAGTGCAGTGGACAATTTCGACAGATTTTGACGACTATTTCGTTTACAATTCGGTTTTCCAGACTATCCACAAATCATGCACATAAGATGTGTCTGGTAGCTGAATTTTCCCAACTGCAGTCCACCCTGTAGCAGAATAGCTTTTAGAATAGAAAACGTATGGTCTACTTTAATGACCCTGGGAAAATTCAACTACCACTTCCCTTGGCATCGTAAATGAGCTATTGTGAAGACATCTCATTTATGCGCTACTAATAGTCCAGAGGACAGACGTAGCGAGTGTAGTGTAGTTTGTCGATAAGACAATTACAATCGTTTATACTATTTATCTTCATATGAAGTCGGTTCCAAAGCATTCCTTAGTTCATATAGAATGAAGAAGACGACGTCTTTTGTTGCCTTTGGTGCGGATAGTTTTATACAAACCAGTCGAATTGTCCAGTTTGTTTAAAAATTCAGCCATGCCCAAAACTTGACGGCCTCGACTACCGGAGTCGAACCATAACCAGTCTAATGCCATATTGGATCTGATGCTTGATTGTGTCATTAATTGGTTATTCATCATTGCGTATGACAAGACTCAAGCCGAGAAGTTTCCGATTGCAAAGTCAAGACGCATTATTGCCCAGGCAAGAAATGGTTGTTGTGGCTCCTGGTATGGTCGCAGTCTCTTTTCGATTTATAGAAGTGGGCCAAGTTGTCGCAAGTTGTCGCAACATGGTCTTGTTGTCAGGGCGACTTAGGAGAAG